CACGGTGCCCACATTGTCGGAGGTGTGGGACCCCCGAAAGCGGTCTGGCCACCAGAAATGGTGGTCAGGGCGCGTGTAGGGGGCGGGAGGCCAGTGCCGACGATGTAATATTCCGTCGGCCCGTGCCATATGGTGCTCCTCTGGGGGAACTCGGAGGCTCCCCCTTTCCGGGGGGATACGGGCATGCCCGGGCACCGGAGCTGTGCAGAGTTGTGGGTTACAAACCATAATGACTGATTCTTCTTATTCCTCTTCGATGAACGACCCAACGGATTCGGATAAAAATAAGACGACCCTGGCTGTACTTAAGGACAAGAGCGAAATGGCAACTCCTGGTTGCTCTGGACAGAGGGCAACAAGAGTGGCTGCCACGAGGAGCCAACCTGGCGGCAGACAGGTGGCTAGGAGAGAGGGGCTTAGAAGCGCCAAGTCCCGGAAAACAACAGGGGTGGAACAGACTGTAGACGGAGACAGGTCCAGATCCCCCCTCGAAGTTGAGTCTGAGTCCTCGTCAGACTCCATCTCACAGGTGGAATGGGTGGATGACGAAAAGGCCAAAGAGGGGAAATGGGATATCCCCAGGAAGGAAAATGACGAAACGGATGAGGAAGCCTTTATTAAAAAAGTCACTAGAGGTAGAGGTAGGCCAGAAACTACCGGTGAATACCGAAAAAAGAAAGAATTCATGGCCAAGAGAGTTGCCTACCTGGCCAAAGTAAAGGAGGAAAGATTAATTAAAGGAATGGAAAACTCGGCTGAGGAATTTAAAGATTGCTCAATGAACCGGAAGTATAAAGCTGAGGTTCAAAGGCTAACGGAGCACCTGGAGGAAGCTCCATTTAGGGACCTGTCTGCAACGGTTCAAGAAGCAGCCATGAAGATCCTAGGCTTCTCGGTGAAATCAAGAAATTTGAAAGGGACTCATGTTAAGATCCTCCGAGATGCGGCGGCTGCCATTGCGACAGGCACAAATTTAATGGCCAAATACATTGCCAAAGACAAATGTGGGGAGAACCTCGACATTATCGAGGAATTAAAAGTCGAAAACTCCAGCCTAAAAACATCACTAAATGATGTCAAGAGGGAACTGGAGGAAGTGAAGGAGGTACTACGGAGTATAAAGGAGGCACCGCTGTCATCAGTGGTATCCTCCTCGCCTCCGGAATGCAAGAGAAACACAGGTGGGAGTATAAAGGGGACATCGCAACCAGTAGCGAATGTTCCCTCGCCTCCTACCTGTGTACAGGACAAGGAAGAGGAAAGAGGAAGAACAGGAGGAAGAATTACTCCGCCGATGGTGGATATGATGGAAGTTGAGGACGAACCTATAGGGATTATAGAAATCCAGAAAGGAGTAATCCTTAAAGGCAAAGTACACCCGGTGGGAGAAGCGAGAAAGGAAGTCAGGGTCGCTAAAGCTGAGGGTGCTGGCCCCAGGATAAGGGAGAACATTCCACTCCAAAAGAGAATAAGAGTGGAAAGGATAGAAGAAAGTAAAGAAGACAGGGAGGAAGAGCTGGAAGGCAAGGTCACCAAGATGGTGCTTATGGTACTAGACAAATGGGCATCTCAAAAAGGTGAAAATAGGGAAAAGGAGGAAGGAAAAGGGAATAGAAAGGAGACTCCCAAGCAAGAGGCAGGAAAGAATGCAAAGAGTAAAGGAAAAGGAAACAAAAAGGGAAAGGGCATGGGAAAGACATCGGAGGACCAACACAGGGTCCATATTCCTGAGAGAAGGGATAATCGACAAGCCCAAACCCCACTATCCCAAAGAATAGAGCACCCGATACCAGATAATAAGAGGGACAAAACACCCACACCCGCACCTGTAGATCAGGAATTATGGTCTAGGGTTGTAGGGAGAAAAGAAATAAAGGAAATAAAAAAGGAACAGAGAAGGGAGGAAACGAATAGAAACGAAAAACAGGTAAACACCGGAAGTAAGGAAGGAAAAAGGGTCAGGCGCAAGGTCCCAAATACAGCGGCGGTCACAATTACAGCGGACAAAGACCCAATATAAGGGACTACTCGCTGAAGCCAAACAGAAGATCGATCTAACCGGTATGGGCATAGAGAAGATGAAGACCAGGATTGGTGCAACTGGAGCACTGGTCCTCGAAATACCAGGAGAGGAAAGAGGAAGACAAGCGGATCTCCTGGCGGATAAACTAAGAGAGGTGCTATCCGACAGGGCGAAAGTGAGCAGACCACAGAAAATGGGTGAAATCCGGATTAGAAGATTGGAAATCTCAACCTCTGAGAAAGAAGCCGCTGAAACAGTGGCAAAGATTGGCGGATGCATGGTCTCTGATGTAAAGACCGGCAAAATAAGGGAGATCCAAAGCGGCTTCAGGTCGTTATGGGTCCAGTGTCCTCTTCTGGCAGCCAAAAAGGTAGTGGAAAAGGGATCAGTCACCATAGGATGGACACAGGCGAAAATGGAGATGCTGCAGGGTAGGCTCCTGCAGTGTTTCCGATGTCTAGAAAAGGGACACGTGCAAATAAACTGCACAAACAATACAAATAGAAGAGACAACTGCTTCAGATGTGGCGAACCTGGACACCTGGCTCGGGACTGTGAGTCCAGAGCCAGGTGCCAGATCTGTGCAGATGCGGGAATACCATCGGGACACAGAATGGGGGGACCGTCATGCCGACCCCCCCCCCCCTAGGGAAAAGGAAAGCCTCGAGAGGAACAGTAGAGAGGAAAGCGGAATCCGCACCGAATCCGCAAAACCCTTCTGCTCCTCTCGAGGAGAAGGAAGAAGAGAGGGAAAAATCGGAGAAGGGAAATGGGGATGGGATTCAGGATCCCCCACCTCCACTCCCACAAAGAGAAAGAGTTCCTATCCAAAACTCCGAACATGGAAATAGTTGCGAAAAGAGGAGAGAAACGTCCACGCCCGGTGGAAAATGAAGGAAGTGATGAGGGAGACCAACCTGGTGGGAAGGTGATAGTCGGTCCAACAAATCAATAATGGACACCAGGTTGCTCCAAGGAAACCTGCACCGCGCTCGCCAAGCTCAACCGTTGTTCGAACACACAATGGCGGAGCGCGGTGCAGGATTAGGTATAGCGGCAGAGCCCTATTGCATCCCCAGAAACCACCCTAGGTGGTTTGGGGATGACCTGGGTTCTGTCGCTATCGTATGGAAAGCGAGCGATAGCTCACCCCCCGCTACCTTTATTAGTCGCGGTAGGGGATACGTCGTAGCCAGGTGGGGAGTAGTCATTGTGGTCGGGGTATACTTCCCCCCATCCAAGAGCCTGGACCTGATTGGTTACAGGTCCAGGCTCCAAGAAATGGGAGATGCAATTCGAAGGCATCTCTCAGGACCTGTCATCGTGGCCGGAGATTTCAATTCGAAATCGGAACTGTGGGGATCCCGGCGCGATGACAGGCGGAGGAAGGTAACTGCAGATTGGGCTGCGGGCCTAGGTCTGCACATTCTCAACGAAGGGAATAAATCCACGTTTGTGGGGTCGCGGGGTGAATCAATTATTGACTTATCATGGGCAACCCCCGCGGTCCTGAGAAGAGTGCGGACCTGGAGGGTGGCGGACGAGCTCGAAGCTCTGTCAGATCATTTCTTAATAGAAATGGAGCTGTCCGTCACCCCCAATGGCCTGCGGCCCGACCAAGTAAGGGAACCCCGACCTGGTAGATGGTCAGTGGTCCAGCTCGACAGGGAGAGTTTGGAAATCTCCCTGGAGGGCTCCACTTGGCCACGACGGAGAGAAGGGCAGGACCTAGACTCTGAGGTCATGGAGGTAATGTGTATACTCGCACTAGCATGCGATGCCTCCATGCCCAGAGTCAGGTTCTGCCCAAAGCGAACTGCCTGGTGGTGGACTGACCATATTGCTATACTAAGGCGCAGGTCGGTCCACCTCAGGCGGGAGTTTCGAAGGGTGCGGAACTGGCAAAACCCAGACCCTGAGGCCACTCTGGCCGCCTGGAAGGAATTCTGCAAGGCAGCAGTAGAGCTTAGAGAAGCCATAGGAGCGGCCAGAGGAAGAGGGTGGGATGACCTCCTCCTCTTATTAAATGCGGATCCGTGGGGGCGTCCATACAGAATGGTAATGCAGAAGCTGAAACCATGGACGCCCCCTCTGACGGTGACGCTTGATCCCCGGTTCCTTGGGCGGGTGATGGGATCTCTTCCCGTGTAGGGAGAACGATCCCATCAACACGCACATCATTCCATCCCCCGAACAGCAGGGGAAGGTGCCGGAGGTCACAGAGGAGGAGGTGGCCGGGGCTGTCAAGAGGGTCAAGAGCCGGAAAGCTCCTGGACCGGACGGCATCCCCGGCCGAGTCCTCACCCTGGCCTCAGGGTTTATGAATCAGAGGTTCGCGAGCCTGTTTACACGGGCGTTCAAGGAGAGAATGTTCCCTCCAGTCTGGGGGAGGGCCAACGTGATCCTCCTCCAAAAAGAGGGCAAACCGGAGGACTCCCCCTCCGCGTACCAGCCCATATGCCTCCTAGACGAGGCGGGCAGCTCTTTGAGCGAGTTATAGCTGCCCGCCTCCAGAGGCATATGTCTCAGGAAGGTCCTGATCTCAGCGACGGCCAATACGGCTTCCGAGAGGGAAGATCAACTGTAGATGCAGTCTTGCATCTCAAATCCCTCTCGGAGGCCATCGTGACGGAGGGCAGGGTGGCGGTTGCAATATCGCTCGATATTGCAAATGCATTTAACACCCTGCCCTGGGGTAGAGTGGTGGAAGCAATGCGGAACTATTTCCGCTTCCCACCCTACCTCACGGCCGTCGTTGAAGATTACTTCCGGGGTCGGCGTTTGACTTGGACGGACGCCGACGGCGCTGTGCGTGAGAGGGGAATGAGTTGCGGGGTTCCACAGGGCTCGGTACTGGGCTCCCTACTGTGGAACCTCGGTTACGACTCAGTCCTCCGAACAGCTCTCCCCCCCAGCTGTAGCATCATATGCTACGCAGACGACACACTCGTCTTGGCCGGAGGGAACGACTGGGGGGATGCCGTACACACGGCAAACCAGGCAGTGGCAGGAGTCGTGCGCTCCATCCGTAACCTGGGCCTGGTGGTGGCTGAAAGAAAAACAGAAGCCATTTTCTTCCATGCTAAGGGATGGAAGCCACTCCATGAGATATCTGGGCCTCATATTGGACGGCACCTGGTGCTTCAGAGAGCATTTCAACAGGCTGGTCCCCCGACTTAGGGTAATATCTGCCAGGCTGGGCAGGCTTATGCCCAATGTCGGGGGACCAGACGGGAAGGCTCGTCGCCTCCACGCGGGAATTTTGAATTCGGTGGCACTCTACGGAGCGCCGGTATGGGCAAAAACCCTGGCCGTCAGTCGCCCGATGCGAGAGCAAATGCGCAAAGTGCAGAGGGTGCTGGCGGTCAGGGTGGCAAGATGCTACCGTACCGTGTCCTGCGTGGCGGCGACGGTCCTGACGAGTATGTCCCCCATGGAGCTCATGGCCCTGTCGTACAGACATACGTACGACAGGAAGCGTGAGCTCCTAAGAACGGGAGGGATAGGAGAACCGCTCGCCAGGACCATACGAAACATGAAGCACCAGGCTCGACAGGTCCTCCTCCAGAGATGAGTAAGATTACTGGCAAATGCCAGGTACGGGAGGAAGACCGTCGAGGCCGTCCGACCCTTCCTACAGGAGTGGGTAGGAAGGGCCCACGGGACCCTGATGTTCAGGATGGCACAGGTGCTCACCGGGCATGGCTGTTTCGGTGAGTACCTGTGCTGTATAGGAAAAGAGCGCACGACGTCCTGCCACCATTGCAGGCACGATCATGACTCCGCGCAACATACGCTCCAGGATTGCCCCGCCTGGAGCGTTGAGCGCGGAGTCATGATCCGGGCAGTAGGCCGGGATTTATCACTTCAGTCGATAATCGGGGTGATTCTCGAAAATGAGAAGAAATGGGATGCTTCTCCTTCTCCTCCTTCTGCGAAAAGGTCATGACGCAGAAGGAGGAGGCAGAGGAGTTGCGAAGAAGGGCAGAAGGGAAGAGGAGGAAAAGAAGAAGGCGGGAGAGGCACCGTCTATGGAGAAAGGGGAGGAGCAGGAGGGGGATGCATCCTCATCAGAGGAGGATGCACTGAGGAGGATGTTGGGTCCGCCATCACCTCCACCCCCTCCCCCTCCTGCCTTCCCTTTGTTACAAACAGGAAGGGCCCCAAGGAGGCAAAATGCCCCCCACAGGGCAAGTACGAGAAGGAGAGCTACGAGAGGTGGAAGGGGAATTGCAACAGGAACGGTTGCACCGTTACCCTCCACCTCCACGGTGACTCCGATAGACGGAAGGACCGGGAGGAGACCGAGACTTCGGCCCCGACCTCCTAACCGCGGTCCTCCGACTCCCAGAGTGGGAGTCGGATGAAAGTAAGGGGGGGAGAGGATGCCAGTGATGTTCTCACTGAAGAAAGCACCTCTTCCCCCCTACTAGCAAGGTCCAAAGTTAAAGGACATGAAGGAAAGGGGGGTCATTAGGACCCCCCCTCTCATTCCTCTGCGGAGGTGGGAGTGCCCGGCGGCTAGGGGACCTTTTCTCCCCGTAACCGCCGGGCGGGAGGGTGGGGCACCGGGCGGGGATTCCCGGTGCCCCAACCAGTCTTCCAACGTAGGGCGGCCGGCTGAAACGGTGAATTAGCCGGTCGCACAACATGTATTGGCGGCGCTTCGTCTGGTCAGGAACGGTGGTTGAAGTGGGCTTCGGCCGGCTTCCCCCTTCCTGACCGAAGAGACGAGGCGTGAGGGGCGGGATAGGAGAGCGGTGGTCGAAGCGAGCCCTTGGGCTGGCTTCCCCCCTCCCTTGGGGGAGCGGTGGTCGAAGTGAACCCTCGGGTTGGCTTCCCCCCTCCCCCACCCCGCCCCTCAGGGACAGAAGGTGTAACACCTGGACTCGGGGCCTCGATAAGCAGTCACGTGGCTCCAGGGCTCCGATGCCAGTCCCTTCGCAGCGCCACCCGGGGAGGTTTTAGCCGGTAGGAGTCTGGCATAACCCTGGCCCTTCCCCAAGGGTCAGGGTATCCATGATGGATTTCTTCCTCGTCCAAAAAAAAAAATATGACCCCCACGGGCTTCCGAGAGGGACGTTCAACCATGGATGCGATTCAGCATCTACCCTCTCGGAGGCCATCACGCAGGAGGGCAGAGTGGCGGTGGCAATGTCTCTTGACATCGCCAACGCCTTCAACACCCTGCCCTGGGGTAGGGTGGTGGAAGCCATGAGTGGCTTCTTTCGCTTCCCACCCTACCTCGTGGCCGTCATCGAAGATTACTTCCGGGGTCGGCGTCTAACTTGGAGGGACGCCGACGGCAAGGTATGCGAGAGGGGCATGAGTTGCGGGGTTCCACAGGGGTCCGTTTTGGGCCCCCTCCTGTGGAACCTCGGCTACAACTCGGTCCTCCAAACTGCCCTCCCCCCCGGCTGTAGCATCATCTGTTACGCGGATGATACGATCCTGGCCGGGGGGAAAGACTGAAGGGAAGCCATGAGAACGGCAGACTTTGCGGTGGCATGCGTCGTGCGCTCCATTTGCAGTCTGGGACTGGAGGTGACGGAGAGAAAAACAGAGGCTATATTCCTCCACCGAAGGGGAATGAAGCCACCCCAGGCCCAGATCAGGGTAGGAAAGGTCAGGGTCCCATTAAAGGTCCAGATGCGATATCTCACTTGGGCCTCACTTTGGACGGCACCTGGTGCTTCAGAGAGCACTTTAACCGTCTGGACCCCCGGCTGAGAGCGGTATCGGCCAACGTGGGCAGGCTCATGCCCAGAATCGGGGGACCAGACGGGAAGGCATGTCGCCTCCACGCGGGGATACTCAACTCGGTGGCCCTGTACGGGGCGCCGATCTGGGCGGAAGCCCTGGCCGTCAGTCGCCCGATACAAGCTACCCTACGTAGGGTGCACAGGGCGCTGGCGGTCAGGGTGGCCCGATGTTATCGGACCGTATCCCACGTGGCGGCGACAGCTCTGGCGAGCATGCCCCCAATTGAGCTCCTGGCCCTGATGTACAAACGTACGTACATCAGGAAGCGGGAGCTCATCGAGCAGAGGGGGGGGGCAGAAATAGCGCTCGCCAGAGCAGTGCGGGAGATGAAGCACCAGGCTCGACAGGTCCTCCTCCAGAGATGGCAGAGGATTCTGGCTAATGCCAGATACGGTAGGAGGACCGTCGAGGTCGTCCAGCCCTGCCTACCAGACTGGGTGGGCAGGGCACATGGGAACCTGACCTTCAGGATGGCACAGGTGTTCACCGGGCATGGCTGCTTCGATGAGTACCTGTGCCGAATAGGAAAGGAGCGTACGACGCAGTGCCACCACTGCGGTCACGATCACGACTCCGCGCAACACACGCTCCAGGATTGCCCCGCCTGAGCACTGAGCGCAGAGTCGTGATACGGGAATTAGGTCACGACCTCTCACTCCCCACGATAGTCGGGGCGGTCGTGGGGAGTGAGAAGAAATGGGAGGTGTTTGCCTCTTTCTGCGAGGCAGTCCTCTCGCAGAAGGAGGCCGCGGAGGAGATCCACCGGGAGGCGGAAGGGCGCGGAAGAAGACGGAGGCGGAGGGAGCGCCACCGATTATGGAGAGCTGGGAGGAGTAGGAGCAGGGAGGGGGACGTCGACTCCTCTGAGGAGGAGGAACTAAGGAGGATGGTGCGACTGCCATCCCCCCTCCACCCCCTCAGCCTGTTTCTCCCCCTCCGAGGGGGAGACCCCCTCCAGGAAGGGCGCAAACGAGGCGCCAGGGCGCCCGCTCGAAGGCACTCGGACGCGCGTCGCCAGCAGCAATGGCGGGCAATAGGCAGCCGGCCAGGGGAAGGAAGAGAGCGGTGACGGTAACGACACCGCAGCCGACCACAGGCAGTAGCGGGAAGGACGAGGAGGAGGGGAACGATGGTGGGACGCAACCCACCTCCCCTCCCTCACCAGCCACCCACTCCCCCTCAAATGGGAGTAAGATGAGGATAAGGTGGGGGGGAGGGTGCGACTGTGGCGTTGTCACGGTCAGTTAGCCCCCTTCACCCCATTTAACAACGGGATATGAAGGAAGGGGGATGGTAACCTCCCTTCCTCCCCTTTCTCCCTTAGGGGAGGGAGCGCCCGGCGGCTAGGAGACCTTTTCCCCCTGTAACCGCCGGGCGGGAGGGTGGGGCACCGGGCGGGGATTCCCGGTGCCCCAATCAGTCTTCCAACGTAGGGCGGCCGGCTGAAACGGTGAATCAGCCGGTCGCACAACATGTATTGGCGGCGCCTCGTCTGGTCAGGAATGGTGGTTGAAGCGGGCTTTGGCCGGCTTCCCCCTTCCTGACTAAGAGACGAGGCGTGAGGGGAGGGAAAGGGGAGCGGTGGTCGAAGCGAGCCCTCGGGCTGGCTCCCCCCCCCCCCCCCGCCCCTCAGGGACAGGTGTAACACCTGGACTCGGGGCCTCGATAAGCAGTTAGGTGGCACCGGAGCCCCGATCCAAGTCCCTTCGCAGCGCCACCCGGATAGGTTTTAGCCGGTAGGAGTCCGGCATAATCCTGGCCCTTCCCCGAGGGTCAGGGTATCCATGATGGATTTCCTCCTCGTAAAAAAAAAATGCTAAGGTCATATGAAGGCCAACTTTATTTTTTTAAATGGAATCTCTTAGTTTTTATTGGAAATTTTTGTAGCTTATTTCGAGAGCTTTCCAAAACACTAATTATAGTGAAGTCATTTTTTATTAAGTTTTTTCCGAGTTATGACGCTTGAAAGTTACAGTACCATCGGCATTTCGGGGAGGGAATGCAAGCATAGTTCCCCTGACTCTCCTCACTACGGTCCGAGCGGTAGGCACCTCGCAGGGGTTTTAGTCGGTAGAAGTCCGACATAACCCCCGCCCTCCCCAAGGGGCGGGGATATCCATGATGGATTTCCCCTGCGTGACCAAAAAAAAAAGTACCGTCGGCATTAGCATTACCCAAAGTGTACTGTGCGGAGGTGCGTTCAGAGATACTTCTCGGCCCACATATTCTAAAAACGAGTTGCGCTCGCTCGCATCTCGCTCTTTGTCTCTTTTGTTTCTTTTTCCGATTATAATATCACATTTTTCTCTGAAAAATGTTGACCGAAAAAGAAAGAATATTGCTACTAATTTATCGAGGATTTGATGACCGTATTCCGTAGATCATATCAAGAAGTAGCTGATCTATTCAATGTTACACATCCTGATATCGATCCTATTTCTAAATCCACCGTTGGCAGAACAGTAACTCGTTTTTTTGAAACGGGGACAGTTAAGGACCGATTTCGCAGCGAAAGGCCAAAATTCACAACTATTGATGATAAGACTTTGGATGTTCTCCAACCATTTCAGGAAAATCCTCATTTGTCCGTATCAAAAACAGCACAAGCCCATGATATCAGTGAAAGTAGCATTTCTAACATTTTAAAACAGTATCCGTAATATTATCCGTATAAAATTGTTATCGCTCAAGAACTTATGTAATATGATTTTGATAGAAGAATTCAGTTTTGTGAAGAACTGATGCATCGGTATGATGATAATGCTAACTGTTTGAATTTTGTTATTTTTTCTGAAGAAGTCATTTAAAATA